AGGATACTGTTACATTTTATTCACTCCCAGAATAGGTGGACACATGTAAATGGCCTGTTGGGAATGGTCCTGGGAATACCTTATTTGCTCAGCCGTGACCTTTTGGACTACCTTTTCAGGCAACTTAGCCAGGCAACTCTCCTAGACACGATTTACAACATGACTCAGGGCTGTCACTTCTTTTCATCTCCCTTCCTCTCCACTAGCTGCTGGAAGAATTAAATGCAGATATCAGATAAGTACAAATTTGTTAGCATCCCAGTCCTATTACAAATATATGGACCACCCAGTTTTTACACAGAGAGCGGTGCTGGGTGATTCATCTAACTCTGTTTGAGACAGACTGCAAGTCAGAGAGCTGTAGAGACCCTGTTTGTTATCGGGAGAAAGAATGCCTGTAGTCTTTGAATGGCACAGTCCTGGTGTCCAAGCAAGGACGAGCAACACTGACAACTGATTAAAATATCCTAATCAGCTACTCTGAAGAGGGCAGTTAGTAATGTCTTGTCTACTGACCAGTGACACTGGGCCAAGGAAATTGTTGTGGGGAAAATGCACAGGAGAATCAACAGTTTGTTTTACTGCTTTCCTTTCTGTCAAGACTGCTAAAGGTCTTTGCTACAGTACTGTCAGAAACCATTTTTTGCCTGGTTAGTTTAGGAACAGGAAGAATTTCCTGAGCAGTCTTCTTGTGCTTGAGTCAATGCCCCCAAGCAAAGTGCATGAAAGACACACTTCAAGTCAAAAGTTAAACTGAAGACCAGGATTGCATATGGTATCGTTATTCAGCTCACCTTCAAATATACCCTAGTGGGACTGTCCATTTGCTGAAGGCTTAATTTCTGTAAAAAAATCAGTAATGTCTCTCAGCAGCGTCTCTTAGATGAACAGAATTGTACAGCTGAGCCTGTGGGCTCAGCGTGCTAAGCATTGCTGCTGAACACAGGCTACTTGGGGTCGGAGTTCTGAGAAAAAAAATAACAAATGAGAAGAAAACAGCAAAAGATAGCCTACATATGGAATGGAAAGAAGACAAACTATGCATAGTTGACTAGCATACATGGTAGTGATCTGGGGGAAGTATGTAAAGCATTTCCATCCTAACCCTCTTCTCCAAATGTAAAAGTCAATCCTGAAGTAAGGAAAAATTTGCCATTTTGCTGGACGGAGTGGGGACAGGGGAAGTATATTGGGGATACACCAACAATTCATATTTGCCATGGTAAGAGAACAAGCAAAAGATGACTTACGCAGATTTCTGTCAAAGGAGGAAAATTCTGACTAGAAAAGGACATTTTCAACCAGTCACAAGATGAATGAATTGAACAAGAGGGTTCTGTGGCTCTGTGGTGCTGAGGAAAAGCAAAGAGGAGCTGCCAGGAGGGGTCTAACCCAAGGTGGTAGGAGAGGCCGGGAAGCCCAGCCCAGTGACAACTTAAAAAGACAATACAAACACGTGAGGAAGCCTAGGAGGACAGACCTGTAAGAAATGAGAATTTAAAGAAAAGCTATAGGGTTTTTTTAAATGTTGATTTAAAACCAGCATATAATTCCATGCAGTTGACACTGCTGCTATCAAATAAGCAACCAGATGAAGCTCACCATGCCTCCCATCATCACCGGAGGGCCAAAAGTAGGGCTTCCTCTCATTTTAGTGATTGTTGCTTCTGTTTCCCACTAGTGAAAAACATAGCCTGATTGAAAGGGTTCCTTTGCGAATGCTATCATTATTTTAAATCCTCTAGGTCAAATTCTTTTTGTACTTGAGTAAATACTGAGTAATAACAATTTACACTGATCCTGTAGGAAATAGTAAAGGAAAAGGGGTTTAGCTATAACTCATGAAGGTATTTTTTCTCACAACATCAGAGAAAAGCTATTGCTGCAAAAAGGCTTTTAAAGATTCTTGTAGCCACAATATGAAAACTCCTTCTCTGTAACATTCTAACCCTTCTACTTTACTATTAAAGATAATACCACATAAATACAACTTAATCCAGGCATCTGAACTGCCTTCTGCAACATATGTATGATCTTTCCATTTTTATACACAACAAATCTGATAAACAGAGATTATATAAAAAGAAATGGTTGGAGCATTACAGCATGGGTATAGCACAGACTAGTTTCCTTCTTTTCAAGTAATCTTAACATATACACCCAGAGGAGTCTAGTAATTAGAAAAAACCTGACTTCTGATAGAAAAAAAGAAAATAATTTGTGTTAAAAATATTCCCTGACTTTGAGCATACTTTATTTCATGTTGAATATTTTTAAATGCTTAAGATTCTAAAAGCTCTGTATCACAAAATAAACCAAAATTTCTGCTTTATTTTGCCTTTTTTTATAGATAACTGCCACAATCTCTGTTCTCAACAGCCCTGTCAGCCTGAAAAACAAGAATAAAGAAGATAAGGAGGAACAGAAATAGAAATATCTGTTAGGATTAGGAGTAAAAACAAAATCTTAAAAGTATTTAGGACAGAATTATCACAGATAACCAAACTCTTGGATGCCCACCTCTCAGGGAGATGGGCATGGTGAGAAACAGAGTGTGCAGAAGTTGGTGCTGGGACCAGAAAACACAAGCCATAGAGCAATAGAGAAGATTTATGAGGAAAGACCTGTAAAGACCTGTATTCACACTTAGAAAATTGTGATGATTCAGTTACTGACAGCCACTTGAAAGATAATCCTGCAGAAGAGTGCTAGCTTTCTTCTGAAGGCATTCTGTCCAAGTTCAAAGTGCATTGTTTATTCCTCTAAGCAGGTAGATAAGCCTGAGAAACACAGGAAAATACAAATGCATTACTAAGTGGAACATCCTGCAACATAAAAATAATTGAAGTAATAATCCTGTGGTCCTCTAAATAGCTATCATCTGTATTTCTTGCATGCAATTAAAACCAAGCAAATAACACTGATTATTTGTCTGCAAGGTGTAATGCTGAAAGGACTGGAACAGGGAGAGGTGTGGTGCGACTCCAACAGCACAAGGAAGACTGTGCACAGAGGCTTGCTGCTAGCACAGGCCACTGGAAAAATCTAGCACTGAGGAGGTAGCAGTCATCATGTACAGGCAGGAGTGGGCAAAATGAAGGCCACTTAGGTAGGGAAGTGTCTGCAGTACAAAGCTATTTCACTAACCTTGCACAGTTGCCATCACAATTGTTCTCACCAAGCTGAATTTTCTACTAACTTTCTAGCTTATTTATAAAACAAAATGGCTAAAGCCAAGTGAATCTGCATGAATATGAGTAAATATGAGTAAAAAAATCTCATAAGCATTTAGGACCAAACATGCAAGACACGAACCAACACGAGGCATAATACAAAGTCCTATGGCAACCTGTGAGAGGGGCTCAGGGAGGCAGGAACAGGTCCCTGAGGTTTTGTGTGGTGGCTTGCTAAGGAGAAACTTCACCTGGTCCTTCCTGGCTTTCTTCAAGAAGCTGGAGAAACTACCATCACATTCCATGTCTGCAGGCAGTAAGGCATATGGTGAGCTTTGCATGTTGAGCCCATATGCTGACTTAACAGAGTACAGGGTGCGAGGTGAGAGCATTGTCCCATCTATTAGTATGAGCCTGCGTGGTTCTTTCCAGGAGTTGCTGGAAACCCACTGCTGCACTGCTCTGAAAGGCCCCAAGCATCCCCACAGCCCTTGCAGGGATTCCGAACAAGGCTGGAAGGAAATGTCACTCAGTCTGAAGCCTAGCAAGTACGTGCAGCTTCTTCATCACAGAAAATTGCAGTCATCTACTGCGAATCCAGAACTGTTGTGTGACAAATGTGGCCAATCTCAGTGCTTGGATTCAAGGTCTTACAGATTGTACCATCACCACCATCAGGTGCCCTGTCTCTTCACAGCACTCAGGATTCACCAGATAGCTCTCAGCAATGTGCAAAGAGGTCATAAACTCTACGAGTCAGCCAGCCAACAAGACAGGACAATACACTTCTCTTTGGAAATGGGATGTTATGCAGTGCTCCCTGCTCTCACAGCATTGCCATCTGGCAAGTAAAGGCCAGGGTTTGCTCTAATTAGTCCTCTCCATCTGCATGAACCAGGACCTACAAAATGTCCTACAGACTCACTTCAGACAGAACATCTGCGTGTGCTGTGTCTGGAGAGGAAAGCTTGAGAAAGGGGCTCCACTCGGTATTGTGAAAGACGTGGGTTTTACTCATTACACACTTTTCAAATCTAAATTCCTCTGCGGCTTTGCTAACTGCCAGAGCAAGCCCCTGAAGACAGAGATTTACACCAGTATGCTGATAGCAGCATCAAGCCCCTATTTACTACTCACTAGCTCAGAGCAGAAATGCTAAAGTACCAGTCCATCCCTCCTCCTCCTGGACAAATCTCTACCCTCTGGTATATGAAAAATGTATTTCACATCTCCAAATAACGATTCTTTTGGGGACTAAGATGTGACGCCTCCCCCCAGTCCAACTCAGCCGTCAGAGCGCTGCAGTGGTCCCTGAGGTCTGCCGAGGACGGTGGTAGCAGGCAGCAGCTGTCCCTGCCGCCTGCCTTGCGCTGAGTTTCTCCTGCTTCATCTGAGGGGAGCAGAGGAGAGCGAGTCCCGCAGGCTGCAGGTGTCTCCCAGGGGAGGAGGCTGCGGAGCCCCTTGGGATCATGTGTGGTACCCGAGCAGATGTTCACTTGCTCTTGGTGCTCTTTGTGAGACAGACCCTCTCTGATCCCGTCAGCACGCTGAAGCACACCGACTACAAGAGGACGGCCGCACTCCCGCGCCTGCAGCTGGTCCTTTAACGTACAAAGGCAGGATTTCAAGTGAAGAGAAGAATGGGAGTCTGGCTGCAGCGTTTTCTTCACTGCTACAACATCAGATTGGAAGACGCTGAGAGTTTTCATGCCTGGAAAACTGGATTCTGAATCGTGAAAGGCTTTGAGCCTCCCCCCCCCCCGCCAAATAAAACAAACCCCTTTGACTTCTTCTCTCAGCAGGAGGGGGAGGGAGGGCGGATTTACCATGAAGACAAATCGAAGATGCAGAGCCCTGCTAGCAGTGAGTCTGAATCTGATGGCTCTCCTCTTCTCTACAACAGCTTTTATCACGACCCATTGGTGTGAGGGCACACAGAGGGTCCCCAAGCCAAGCTGTGGGAAAGAGAAGAAGACAAACTGCCTCAACTACAGCGGGAATGAGACTGCAAATGAGACAAACCAGAATGTGGTTCATTACAGCTGGGAGACGGGAGATGACCGCTTCCTTTTCAGGTATTTCCATACTGGGATCTGGTACTCCTGTGAGGAAAATATCAATGCTGCTGGTAAGTATAAAACAACTTCCTTCCAGCTTGTGTTGCTTTGTGTTTGGCTCAGTGTGATAAACACACAGGCAAGCTGTTCTGTGCTGTATCTTAAAGCAGATTCGACCTGCAGAGAGAGGCAGAATTTTAACAGTTCTTTGTTGAAAAGCAACCTGTTTCCAGCAAGAGCAAGGATTTGCTTGTTTACCTGCTGACTGATGCAGGGTCTGTTCTCTAAAGCCAGCTAAACCTCAGAGAAGCAGTATGTGCTACCCTCACGGGCACTGCAGCCAGAGACTGGTCAGTGCTTCCCTTCTGGGAGCAGCTCCCTGGAGCGCACAAAAGGCAGCGGATGGTAGTTGTTAAGGAGGTTCTGACATCTAATTGTACTGCCCCTGAAATAACCCCTCGGACACTGGTCTGAGTGATAGGGAAAGCACAAAGGTCCCAGTTTTTATCACACTGTAGCCTAGACTGCCTCTTTTCTGGTATCCCTTAAGTAAATGATCACCCACAAATGCTTCCTAGTGGCTGGATTGTATGTTTATTGAAGTAGAGTAGAGAAATGGCTGTTAAAGGGCACAACCGGGCACAAGAAAACTCATTTCTGTTCCCTGCTCAGCCATTTACTTTGCTGAGAAACAGTTGAGAAGACATCTCGCCAGCTTATCAGTGCATTCATTTCCTCTGCTGTACCCTGGCACTTACCAAGACATAAAACACTGGAGGGTGGATGGAAGGTAGCAGCTATGGGACTGTTTTAAGTCTCAACAGATGCAAACTGACAGTCCCTACTCCCAGAGCTGTCTGGTAGAGCTAACATCCAAACTCTGCTTTTGAAAAAGCTTTGTTCTAGATTATCTGACTGGAAAATAAACTTTACAAATGTGACACAGTATGAGACGATGATGGCTCATGGATACTGGTTCCTCCTTGCAGGGCTATTTCCATTCTATCCTGCCATTGCCCAAGGAGCAGACTGGGGAGTTGATCCTTCCCCATTCTTGGGAGAGAGGAACAGTTAATCATCCTAAGCGTTGTGTCTCTGAGGACACAACCTCCTGGATAATGGGAAGTTTATGAGATCCTGGTAAAACTGCTCTGTAAGGATGTACTATAAAGTGGAACAAACTTGGGGAGCAGCTCACAGTCCCTTTCATCCCAAGGTGCTATGTATATGTATATGTGTGTTTTTGAGGATAGTGCTTCAAGAATAGTTGATCATTAAAACTCAATTCAATATATGAAAATGAAGGTTCATGAACTCTAACCTTGGGACTGTCAATGAACAGCTCCATGCTGAAATGAGGGCACGAAAGTAAGTGTCTTGATGTTAGAAAAAAAATATAGAAAGAAAGATGATTTGTCTTACTGATTTGGAAATAAACTTAGGCCACAGCAGCCTGAGTGAGCAGCTTAAGACTCTCTGATTTCTTGAGCATCTTAGCTGGGATTGGTACAATCAAGCATGCCGAAATTTCTGGCAGATATTGAAAGCTTTCCAAGTCAAGATTTATGTGTGAGATAAGTTGTAACTGTGTGACTCTAGCCCACTCAGAAACTGAGTTATCTGTGGGAGAAGAGAAATACAGTGATCTATTCTGTTCTGGGTAAACAAAGCTGTGCTGTAGTGGGTGACTTCAGGAGATAGCTGGAAGCCAGCTTTAGAAAGTTATGGTAAAAGCAGAAGAGAAGGGGTTGTTTCTCCCTCCCCACGCTGCTATAGCAGCCACATGTGTGTTTCTTCTTATTTGAAACACTAACTTGGTGAAAAGTACTCTTCAGTTAGCAGACCAGGAGTGACCAACCTTTGGAAAGAATCCAGCCAGGTACGAGGATATATTGGCTAAGACAGACAGCTGCCTCTTTCAGGATTTACCATATTGTTTTCTGGTAAGGACAGGAACAATGTAATGGACACAGGTCTAAATTTGTCCCTAAAAGTGTCAACGTAAAATAACTATGAAAGTTCTCTATTCAGACTTACAAGTTTGTAACACCAGACTGTCAGTATGTTGTCATGGCCTTTTGCAGCCTGACTGGTGATCATTTTAGCTGAGCTTCAGGGCAGCAAGGCACCAGCCAGCCCCAATCCAACAGCACTATGATCACGCTTATATGTACACCCCCAGCACTCAATATATCTGTGAGTAATCCATCCCAAAGGCTCATCGCACTGTCCACAGCACACTTACTGACTACAGTCCTGTAGATATCACAAGTCATACAGTCACCATGTTGTTCATAAACACCCTAGGATGCCAGGAGAACATCCAGAAAATACCACTAAGCACACAGATAGTAGTGTATTAAATTAGTCAAAATCCCTGGCTTGATTGCACTCCATACTTTCAATAACGTCTTTCTTAAGGCTTTACCAATAGCATACTGAAAATGACAGCAACAACAGCCTTCCTCCAGGCAAAGTCCTTTCAGTAGCCGCTCCACAACCTCACACCTCTGTCAGCTAACATATGGCCACCGGCAAAGTCCTTTCAGTAGCCGCTCCACGACTTCACACCTCTGTCAGCTAACATATGGCCACAATCTATGGCCAGCCCCATTCCTACAGCTCCTGACCTATCCCTGATTCCTCACTGCTGATGCCTGAAGTTAAGCAACGTGAATCCCACCAGGAACACATGAATGCCGGTGACACTCACTGTGGTTGTGATGCTGTTAAAACCCTCCAGAGACTCCTAACATTCCCAGCTGTAAGCCACATTCTTCATCTAGCCACCAGGCTTTTGACTTCTCTCTCCCTGCATCACAGTACTGTCAAAACTTTCCGCTCTCTGCACTGGTGCACCTGCAACACAGCAGATCTTGTAGTGCAGACACAATAGGACCAGCTCCCAGAAGGTTGATACTGCAAGAGACAGGATTGCAGGGCTTCCAAGTGGCTGGAGGAGTTGGAACTCAGTCACACCTTAAAATGGCATTTAGGCTGCAATCAAACAAATTTTTGAGTGTCTTCTCCTCCCATTGTTTATTTGAAATATCTATTTAGATTCCAGAGGTAGAGGTGCAAAAAGCATGCCATACACTCTCTGTGCAGAGACTAGCAAAGCAGGCCTTCATCTTGTTGCCGGTTTCTAGTTTTCACTGACACCTCTAACAGAGATTGAATGCTGTGATTATTTCTGAAATAATTTGCGAATCTAGAGTTTATTTTTATCCAGCTTGTCTAGGACAGCTAAAAAATCCAAAAAGCATTTAGTACCTGAGAAATATAATTGTGAATCCCCTCTGGGAACAGAGGGACTGGAGCACATATGTATTTCGTTGGTGGGTGAGTCCTGTAATTATTTAGCACAATTTCTGGCTCAAAGGTGTGCTGAATCCATCTACCAAAAAGAGGATGAAGGCTCTGCCTTTCAGAGTCAGTTCAATGCTTTGGGTCCCACATGGTGGAGGTAGCTTCTGTGAAAGCAACGCACCTCATCTCTGGAAGGGGGTGAAGCTAAAGCGTACCCTACGAACTCAGCAGATCGTGCTGGTCACGAGTCCTGTGCTGCACTCACACGCTGCACAGGGTGTTTGGTGCCTCCTTCCCAGCCGTGAATTCCTTGTCTATGACCAGGCATCTCGGAGCTGAGCTCTCTAACATTTCATTTCTTTTTGAGTATGGCTTTGAGTGCGTATCTTATTTCACACCTGCAGTCTAGGTCTCTGCTTGTATCAGTACTGGACAGCTCACAAGATACCAGACAAGTGATGTGTTAATAGCAGCAGTGGTAAACTAGCTGGTAGATTCCATGAGTCAAGGACATACATGCCATGAAAAAATTAACATATGGAGTAGGTAAGGTGGCATACGTTATCCTAACAGGTAGAGGAGTTTGAGAGCTGGGAAGCAATAGTAAGTTAGGCAATTTTGCTCAATAGTGTTTTTGCTTTGATTTTAATAAAAAACCCCATGAACTCAGATCTTGTTTCAGTTGCTAATGAACAGACAATCTCAGTAATAATGTCCACATTCAGAGGGAAAAGCAGCTGCCTAAGGTGCCTTTTAAGAGTACCATCCCATGGAATAAACAACGAGCCTTTCCATGTTGCTCACCACGCTCCATAGAAGTCAAGTTGATCAGGAATGGCTATGCATTGGCTTGTTGTGTATTCTTGGAATGATATGTTGAGGGCAAGGGGTCTGTAGCTCTTTGTATGCTCTCTTAGCATTCTTTAAAGAGTAAATGGTAGAGTGGAACTTACATGGTATGTAAGGATGCATCAAAATGGACCATAAATATAGGCATTAATGCACATTTGAGAAGGAGCCAGAGAACGAGAGAGGTGCATCCTGCAGAAATGAACAAATCTGTAACAACGTATAAAGACAAGAACTTGCCAGATCCAGAGTGGTACTGCATCACCCTTCTCCCCCGCCACCGTGTGATAATAAGCATATATGATTCACTGTAGGCGGCTGTCCAGAGAGAGAGACCGGGGAGAAGCACCTTCTGAGTGTATAATTAAAAGCAAGAGGAATTGGAAATTCTTGCTGGATTATGAGAAATACAATGTAATTGGCATGACTGAAACCTGGCGGGTTTATTCACATGACTGGAATGTAAAAATTGCTAGTTATAAATTAGAGTGGTAAAAGGAATTGAGGACATACAGCTCTATATTAAAGATAAAATTTCCAGTGATAGAGGAACTGAACCCAAGGGGCTTGGATAATCTCCATCTGAGGAAGTTGAAATAATTGGCACATGAAAATGCAGGTTTAGTAGCAAGAATCTGCACTTTGCTGTATTCAAAGAAGCCTGGACAAAACATTACACAGGCCACCTGACCCAGCCACCTTAGGACAGTTTTCAGGGAAAGCACTCAGTACATGGCAACAAATGGGTTTTATCAAAGGTAGGGTTTTATTAAAGGTAAATCTTTTAACAAGATGAATCACTTTTTAGACAGGGTAATGCATTAGACCCAGTCTTTGTGGTTTTACAAAAAAGCATTTGATAGAATGTCCCACTGAAAATTCTTTACAGAAGAACTACAGAGAGAGGAGAGAA